ACTGATCTCGACAACATTATCTGAACAGATTTTCAAGAAATTTGACATATTTACTTCTAGACTGAATGTGGTCTTATATACCACAATCCATCTTATCTGGGCTAATATAGTGCACAAAAAAATTGAACTTGAAATTTTTGATACATTTTGCACCGGAATGGTATAAAATTTGGCATTTGGAGTTTGTATCCATTATTTTGTATTTTCCTCTGATATAAAATTTATTATAGAGATCTACGTCTTTTCATAACCCACATGAAATTATATTCATATTCGGTGTTTTGATGATTTTAGGTACACTTTTACTCGAATTATTTAAAATATCGTTCATTTTCCAGCGCTTCTTTTTATACGCAACACCACACTGTGGTCTGGGTATTACATCTTTGTGCTTGTGTTGTAACATATAGAAGGAAGCGAGACAGACTCATAGTTACTTTTGATAGTTACATCGGAGTCGATTTATGCATGTCCGTCCGTCTGTCCATGTACTCTTGTAAACAAAGTACAGGTCCCGTCTATTGCCCCCCCGTCTATTGCCAATATATATATTATCCATATCCGATTTTGCATTTATGTCCCCCACACCCGAAAAATGCTCTACACAATAACAAATACCGTTATTATCAAATATAAGATTCAGCAGAGAAATATCTCTGCTTAATTTTATAGAGATCGGTTCAGATTTGGATATACCAGCTATATATATCTTCAACCCGACTTGACGTTTACTATGCCTATAAAGTATAATATCAGCTTAAATAGGGTGTATTTTGATTTTTATTGGTTCCGACACATATCCCTCCGACAAATTTAGTAGAAATCGATTCAGAGGAGGATATATCAAAGTGGTGTATGGTATCATAAAATCGGGTCCGCCCGACTTTTAGCCTTTCTTTATAGGTTCCTACTGGGAATATACAGATTGTAATACTCATTCATATGCAAAATCATTTTTCGACAATATCCATATTATGTTTTGCATAAATAATGCCTAAAGTATTAAAAATTGCAAACATTACAATGTATTGCATTGGTACGGTGAACAATATGATGACGAAACATCAAAAATGTTAACGATTTTTACATGCCGTCATAATTAAATATTTGACATAGCAAGAACGCAGTCCATGACTCAAAGGATAAAGACTACATAATTAAAATCGTCAAGCATCAGGTGTTTTTGAATGCAGCAGAAACCTACAATGAGCTTAATGAAAAATAACTATATTGTATTTGTATACAGATGTAGGTACGTATACACGACAGTACGTCTTGCGGAATTGATTATGTTCTTTTGGTACAGAAACACGATGAATACATACAGGCATGACAATAATTATTGCAGCTATTGCTTTATGAGTATAAGTACAAAAAAGACTTTAAACGATCGAAATGTTAATGGTTCTTTGCGTGTTTTTGATAGAAATAGACAAACATTTTCGTTCATTCGTAACTATTTTTAATACCAAAAGACAAATTCGGTCGAAATCACATGATTAGAACTCGGACACATTTTTTATGTATGCTTTGAATACGCTCCACTATTTGGTAGGTATGAGCAAATTTCACAGGAAAAAAATCCGTTGAAAATTACTGCTATAAACATAACAAGTAAAAATAGAATACCCTCCAACATTTAAAACAAATTAGGAAATGTTCAAAAAAAAATAAAATCCATTAAAAATTCTGTTAAAGTCTTAAAAACACCGAATATCGGAACGTTATGATTTATAGGGGATATACGATATTGCGGACCTATATATCAAAATACCGAATATCGGGGGGTACCGGTATATGGGGGCTATACGATATCGTGGACCTATAAATACAATTCTCTTTTAAGGACTAAAGTACTCACAAGGAACTCCTTGTGTGGAATTTCAGACAATTCCATTGAAAAATGTGGTTGAAATTAACAAAATATCGAAAATCGGGGATACCGTTATATGGGAGCTACACGATATCGTGGGCCGATATAGCCCATGTTCGAACTTGACATGCCTGCTGACAAAAGACAGATCTGTGCAAAATTTTAGATTCTTATCTTTATTCGTTTTGACTGTAGCGTGATTACTACAGACGGACTGATAAGGCTAAATCGTCTTAGAATTTACGCTGATCAAGAATATATGTACTTTGTTGGGTCTAAAATGGTTATTTCGATGAGTTACAAGCGGAATGACGAATGTATGGTGGACGGTATAAAAATACCGAATATACCGGTATATCCAATTTTTGTCATTGACCATTACGATATTGAAATACAAAACTTTAAATCGGTGAATAAAGTGGCTGAAATCATCAAAAACACTGACAATTGGGAAGTACCGTTTTTTGGGACCTACAAAAAATCGTGGACCGTCATAGGTAATTTCCGGTCACAGGCTGTAGCAGCTATTACGAACTTACAATACGAAATTTAAAACAACTCTGGTGGATATGTTCGTAAAACTTCAAAATACCGAATGTACGGAGTTGCCGTTGTATGGGGTCTATACGAAGACCTGGACCTGCATATGCAATTTGCTATGATAGACTGTATTACCTGTTTGGAACTTCAAATACGAAATAAAATCATCAAACTATCGATTATAGGGAGGTACCTTTTATTAGGGCCTATACGAAGATGTGGACAATTTTGTGTCACAGACTATATTAAATCTTAGACTTATATTGACAGTTCTATAAAAGGAGTTTTCTTCCATTATGAAAACACGTGCTTTCAACCAAATTCGGGTTAAAATTATGACTGAAACCAAAAAAATGTAACTATAATAAAGGGTGGCCCTAATTTTTCTCAATACCAAAAATCCTGCGAATCTGAGGCACATCTGACTGAAATTGTATCAACCTACTTTATTTCGTTCGGAAGCTAGAGTGATTTTCACAGACAGACAGACATAGAATTCGATGCTGATCAAGTATATATATATACTTTGTGAGATCCAAAACTTCTGATTATTAAGCTGGAAAGACCCGAAGTAGAAATAAAGAGACAACGGATTTTAGTTTGACCTAGTTTAAATTCGACTTACAATTTAAATTCGGTCATCGTATAGTACTTTGTTATTTTACGAGAAAATAGTTATGCGAGAAAATAAATTTTTTAAAACCATGGTACAATGAAGACAAGGTGGGGCATAATAATCACCAGTTGTGCAATTCTCTAACTGAGTTACCGACAAATGTCGGTCGGAAAGTTAGTGACGAAATAAAGTGGTCGCTATGGAGATTATCTGAACATGATAGATACCATCTTATCTTCTTTTTCAACCCTACACCACATAGCGGTAAGGGCATTATGTCTTTCTGCAATGATTTGCAACGTGGAGAAGGAGGCAAGATAGGACCATAGTTAGTTTTGAGGATCTTGATTGAATCACTTTCTGAGTCGATTTATGCATGTCTGTCGGTCTGTATGTGACCTGTATTTTTGTGAATAAAATTCAGGTCGCATATATTATTCGATTGAAATAAAATTTTCATAAATGTGTTTGGTCCAAGGACTAACCGTATTGAAATTGATGAGAACTGGTTCAAATTTAGATATAGATCCCATATATATTTTCAACCGGGTTAATTGTTCACCACTATCAGTCCAAATGACCTGAATTTCGGCAATTCCCACTGAATTCATCCTTGAAAATATTACTTCAAATCTGGTGAAAATCTTATTAGATCGGGGTTTTAAGCCCCTCACATGCGTAATATGCTCTATACAACGATAACTCTTGGTATCAGATATCAGATACATCTCATAAATAAGTGTTAAATTTTTTTTGAAGATTGGCTCACATTTGGATATAGCTCCCGTATATGCTCACCATATACATGTTGTCCGTGGTATGAGGCCAATAGGGAGAGGCTAAATGAGAAGCAGGTGAGTATGTTCCAACTACGCACTGATGGAGCAGAAAAACCCAAACTTCTTCCTAGAAGTTAAATGGTGCATTTATATTGTGTAGAGAGAGTTAAACACAACACTCTCACAAACCACATAAAAAAATAAGGGAAAGGGAAAAAGCTAAATATCTGATGAATATACGCTACGCTTAAAAAGGACACAATTCCTTTGTCCATTAAATGCCGGTATGTGATAGCAGCTAAACACAATAACAACAAAAATTACAAAAAAAGAGGAAAGGAATGAAAAGAGACATCCTTGTTAAATTTGCAAAATCTCAGTCCACTCTCTGTTTTTGTTTAAACTTTGGAATGAGTTTCACAGACTGAATAACAATAGGAGGAATTTCTTGTTTTTCTTTGCAGATAATCTCTTTAAACTGGGAGATGATTAATAAGTAGTTGTGAGTATATTATTGAAGAGTACAGAAGCAATAATGTTGAGAGAGAGTACCACATGGTACTGCCAGGTGTAAGCATGTAATGTAGACAATGTAATCAAGGACATCGACATAAATATCATGGAAAGAGGTAAGAGAGAATCAAAAGAGAATGCAAACTTTCTGAGCAACAAATGTGAACAAAAAGTGTGCGCAAACAGGGGTGTTTGTCTATGAACTATTAATATAAGAAATCACAAATATTTCACATTTTGCTCTGGTAAGAGACAAATAAACATGTGTCTGCCACTGGTACAAGGCAATAGGAGGAAAACAAATTTAATGTGGCTATTTGTGTATTTTGTGATTTTAGCTAGGTTAGAGAGAAATTATAGTTCTGGCGACAGTAGGCAAGGCACTCGAGAATATCGTGCAAAAAACACCTGCTGGAATTGTGAACTTTGGAAATTTCACGTGGAGACTGATATCACATGTTAATTGAGGCAAGGAAAGCTTTCTTTTATACAGCTGACTGTGGGAAGCTCTCTTCTGGATGGAAAATGTTACTTATAACGCATGACGCACATCAACAACTGTACACATTTGCAGAAAACAGCTGAAATGTAACTCTGCAAAGATTGTTTAAGTTTCATCGACAAAAGTAGGTTGAATTACAACTAACTAATTTCCGTACATTCAGTCACTTGATTCTAGTCGTCGGGTGAATTAGAAACATTGCATATAAATGCTGAAGCCCTTGGCGCTTTGTATGCCAAATAAGTCTTCTACCTCGAACAAGGCAAAAGCATTGAATAAACCGAATAAAATCTCGAACCCGCAATATTTGCTTTCGCAGCGTAAACAAATGAAATTATACAAAAGAAAACATAAAAGAAGAAGAAATAAAAAAGACAACAGAAAATTTCTTTGGAATACACAGCAATAAACAGTTGAAAACAGAATTGTGCAAACAAGAGAAAATAAAAATAAAGACCAGAAGGCCAAGACTAAAAATTTACATACAATTTAGGATACCCATCGAATCCTGCCTTTGGTTTGGAATTAATAGAAATTATTGTTATATTATCATTATCTATTTCTTCCGATTCTTTATGGATTTCTGTTTTTCTTTGGTTTGTTTTTATACCCTCCACCATACATGGAGGGTATATTAACTTTGTCATTCCGTTTGTAACTCCTCGAAATACTCATATCAGACCCAAAAAAGTATATATATTCTTGATCAGCGTAAAATTCTAAGTCGATTTAACGATGTCCGTCTGTCTGTCTGTCTGTCCGTCTGTCTGTCTATCTGTTGTAATCACGCTATCTTTCGAATGAATTGAGATAGGTGGCTAAAATTTTGCACACATGTTTATTTTTCCAGTAGGCAGGTTAAGTTCGTAAATGGGCCATGAAGGTCCACGTTTTCATATAGCCCCCATATAACGGTACCTCCCTATATTCGGTATTTTGATGATTTTAGCGACATTATTCACGGGAATTGTTTCAAATTTGGTATTTGAAGTTCAAAATGGATACTACACCCTAAGACGGAAAATTATCCGTGCAGTCCACGTCTTGGTATAGCCCCCATATAACGGTACCTCCCGATATTCGGTATTTTGATGATTTTAGCGACATTATTCACGGGAATTGTTTCAAATTTGGTATTTGTAGTTCGTTATGGGAACTACTGTCTGTGGCAGAAAATTGTCTGTGCGGGTCCAGGTCTTCGTATAGCCCCCATATAACGGTACCTCCCTATATTCGGTATTTTGATGATTTTAGCTACATTATTCACCGTTTATTTCAAGTTTCGAATTTGAATATGGTAATGGCTTATGACAAACAATGCCTATGTATGTCCACGTCGTATAGACCCCAAAACAACGGCTATATTCGGTATTTTTAAAATTTTAACAGAATTTTTTAAGGATTTTATTTTTTGAAAATTTCCAAATTCGTTGCAAATGGTGGAGGGTATTAAAAGTTCGGCCCGGCCGAACTTACTGCTTTTTAACTTGTTTAGTTTCTTGTTGTCCCGTTGATTTCAAAGCTACTCGCATTTTTGGTTTCTGCCGCTTGTTTATTGTTGTTTGTGATTCCCGATTTTACGAAAGGATACGAACGAAGAATCAAAACAAAAAACCATTTAATCACACCCTCTCAACAACTGAGGGGATGAATGAGTGTCTAAGGTAATATAATTTTTGACAATGATGAGAACAACAAACATAAGCAAGAAATGCTTTTGATGTTGTGTTACCAAGCGCCACTTAAGGACATTCGGCAATTATACTCTACTCCTGAAAATGTAATTTGCAAAAATTTGAAACATGCATTATAAACTAAAAATAAGGAACATATTTTTGACCAGCATAAAAAAGTGTATTTAAAAATGTCCGTCTGTCTTATCGAAAATGTTGGGTTACAAAGCAAAAAAAAAAATTCCTTTCTCATTACAAGTAACATGTAAACTGGGCACAAAGCCGACGGCAAAATCTCTTTGTAAAAACAAGTTGAATGTTTGATTTGCAAGTAGTTTCAATTGCCAAAAAAGTATTAAAAATTCACTATAAAAATTCACTATTCAAAAGCAAAAATAGAAAACAAAAATACACCCAAACACGTATTATGGTGCAAAGTTTCCTCGCATACTCTTAAACGTTTACCAATATCACATTATGTTAATATCATAAATATTATAAACAATATAATTTTGGGCCCGCCTGGCTACGTCGGTGCCTCCGCTACAGAATGGATGGTATACAGGGTGAGATGAAAAATCTGCAACCAACTTCAGACTGCTACCATTTCTAAACCACTCGTCTGACAACTGTTATTAATATTCCAGTGACAGCTCATTATATTGTTTACAAGCGTACAAAAGCATTTTGTGATTTTTTTATATTTGACTGGAAAACCACAAGTGGCTATCGTCAAAGCACTCCAGCATTTAAAATTTAATAATTCTATGGGTCTCGTACCATCGCTCGTTACCGTGATACTGGTAGCGTAGCCCGAAATAGTTTTAAAAAAATAAATAAAAATATTCCATTTTGCAAATATTGAAAAAATTGGCTGGGGGTAAAGCCATTGAAATTCCAAAAAGTGCAAGAACTTATGCCGCAACAGAAAGAAAATAGACTCAGAAGAGCTATGGAGTTCCTTCGCTTGACCGAAAGTGGCAAACTGCCGAATTTCTCCGATGAGAAAACATTTGTTTTACAGCAGTTTTGTAAACAAACAAAATGAATGATGATGGTGCTTACTTGCCAAAGAGGTCAGCTGAAAAAGGTTGGCCACCAGAACTCAAGCGCCAGCCATGGTGATGATGTAGGCCGTATTAATCGACCGTGACATCAGAATAAATGGCGAATATTATCGCGAAAATATTCTGGAAGGTGTAATAAAGCCATAAAATTTTGTGTCGATTTAACGATGTCTTGTTCCATAAAAAGGAAGAAATTTCTTTAATTTCGACTTTGACTTTTGCTTATCAAATGACTTAGGAAACATATATGTGTGTGTGTCTTAACTACCGGACAGTTTGTTTTACTTCGAGTTTTTCTTCTTATTAATTTTTGTCATTCGTATTCAAATTTTCTTATGTCTTGTTTTGTTCATTCTGTTTGCCAATATTGTTCAATGGTATGGGAAACGTACAAACATGTTGGAAAACTTTTATTGTTAGGACTGAGGTTACTTTCGATATTGAACTTCTGTGTTTTCAACTTGTTCTGAATTTTGGTGTGCTTATGAGATTTTTTTTAAGTTTTCTGTTTTGCAATAAGACCTTAAATAATTTTTTTTGAAGAATCGGAGATTTTTTTTTTTTTTTTGAAAAGAGGTTTAAAATTGACACACAATTAAGTCGGTGGTCAATGTCATGACAGTTTTTCCTCCATAGGCTCCAATTAAATTATTCGTCTCCGACTCCTGCATTGCATTCTTTTCGTCATTAATACAAATAAAAAACTATGTCGTTTTCTTTTGTAATAAAACATGTGTAAAATTAGTATGTTTATCGTAGTACCCAACATATCTAGATTGAGTACAAACAATGAGGTAAAAATGGAAAAAAAAAAGATTAACCTGCCGATACCTTTTATTACAAAGGTATACCAGCTGTTATGAATATAATATAAATTACTTAATATTTTTTTGTTTTGTTGTCCAACATTTTTGGGACATCATCTAGACTGTTTCTTACTTGGCAATTTGGGTAAATATTTATGGTTTATTGTGTTAAATACAACTTACATAAAAACCGTGGGGTACAATTATATGGGGGATACACGATATCGCGGGTCTATATAGAAAATTCTCTTCCAAACTTCTCAGAAGGAACTCTTGGTGTTTATTTTCAGACAATTTCATTCAAAAATTTAGCTACACGATATCGTATATCCCCCATATTACAGTAATTCCCAATATTCGGTATTTTATTGATTAGCGAATATTGGGAAGTACCGTAATATGGGGGATATACGATATCGTGGACCAATATAGACAATTCTCTTTCAGGGTTGAGTACTCAGAAGGAACTCGCTATGCGGATTTTCAGACAATAATACCAAATATCGGAATGTACCGTTATATGGTACCCCCAAAAGAACTCCTGGTGTAGAATTTTAGACATTTCCATTTAAAAACGTGCCTAAAATCATCAAAATATCGCATATCAAGGAGACCGTTATATAAGGTGTCATACGATAGTGGACCGATGTAACTCATCTTCGAACTTGACCTGACTGCAAAAGACTGATCTGTGCAAAATTGTAGTGATGTAAACGTAATGATGTAAACGTAACAGTTGCAATCATTGAGAAGCATATATATATGCTGAGCTCAACAAACCTCAAAGACTTACAAGTCAGTGCTCTACACTATTGTAGACTACAAAATTGTATCTCTCTGTGATACATACATCAACACACAAGCACCATGGCTATTGATGTTACCCTTGGATTAATAAAGTAGACAGAAGCGTAATTGTGTCGTATTTATTATCCGATTGAGATGAAATTTTCCAAACAATATTTGTTTCGGAAATACCTTTGCCAAATTTTATAAAGATCGGGTCAGTATTGGATATAGGTCCCATATATATATTCAACCGATTTCGGGATAATTGTGCACTAAGTGGCCACTATCTGTCAAAAAGTCCTGAATTTTGGTACATCCGATCGAATTCATCAAATTCGACAACAATGATATTTGGTACCAGATATCTTATAAAGCTCGGAAATACTTCCGGCAAATTTTATCTAGAACGGCTAAGATTTGGATATATCTCCCATACATATCCTTAATCCGATATTAGGTATATTGTGCAAATAGTGTCTAATATCAGCCCAAATGGAGTGAATTTCGGGACATATGTTTCCATTTTGTCCTACTTGATTCCGATATATATTTTTTTAATATGATCCTTCTCCATGCGATATCATGCACCCTATATCAAACTATTACTGCTCTAAAGTCAAGTGTTGATAGGTGGTATGATCTACTTCATATAAATTCATTGTTACGGGAGCTCTACTAAATATGCATAGTGGTGTAAGGTAACATAAAATCGGCCCCGCCCGACTTTTGATCTCTCCTTACTGATTCCTGTATGAAAACATTTTCAAGCTCGTTATTCTCTTCAACAGTTGGTGTAAAAAAAATTTTTAACATTTCAATTTCTTCACATTTTTTAGTTGACATTGACTCCATTGGAATTTATTTCTATTCTTATCTACGCAAATGACATTAAACTGTAGTATCAAAACGGGTAATATTTTCATGGCAAATTACTTTCGTTCCGAGAATAGATTTCCTCATTCTAAGAAAATATACAAAATTGTTATAATACTTAACATTCTTAAAAAGGAAAAACAGATAACGAAAGAGGCAAAAATAAACGATGAAAAATTTATTTTGTAACACATTGGATTTTATGATATAAAATAACTCTAAACTAAGAAAAGGTCAAATTGGAATTGCAAAATATTTTTTGTTTTCTTTCAGACTCACTGACCCTCTTCATATTAATGATCCTGAAATGACAGTGTATTAGTCAAAAGTCAATAAAATTAAGGGAATGCATTTTAATTTAAAGAAAGGGATTTCATCTTAGCTTCAAGACAAAAAACTATCCTGTAAGTAAATCGAATGCAATTTAAAGATAAAGTAATAAATACCATTTCACTTTTACGTATTATTTTTATACCCTACACCACATAGTGATAAGTATATTATGTCTTTGTACATTCGTTTGTAACAAGGAAAAGGAAGCGAGATAGACCCATAGTTACTTTTGAGGATCTTCATAGAATTATTTTCTGAGTCGATTTGACCCGAATTTTGACACATCCGACAGAATTCAGTCCAGAAAACAAGTAAGGAAAAGTTAAAAGTCAGGCGGGGCCGACAATATGATACCCTACAACACTATGCATATTTAGAAGAGCACCCGTAACAAAGGAATTTATTTGAAGTAGGTCATACCAACATTCAAAATTTGGCTTTAGAGCAGTTATAGTTTGGTTTCCAAGGGTAGTAATATATGGGAGGCATATCCAATTCTGAATCGATTTTCAATAAATTTGACCGACAGATTTTAATCCTTTATATCATATAACGTTGCTATAATGTACATGATAGCACTTCGAGTTCCAGAAAATGAAAACGTATGGGCTGATATTTGTCATAATTTGCACAATAAACCTGAAATCGGATTAAGAATATATTTGGGAGCTGTATCCAAATCCTAGCCGTTCTCGATAAAATTTGACAAAGGTTTTTCCGGGCTCTATATGTTATCTGGTACCAAATATCACTGTTGTCGAATGCATATTACGAATATATATATGGGAGCTATAGCTATATCTGAACCGATTTTCTCCAAATTTAATGTTCTTGCCTCTAGACCGACTTCGGTCGGGTGTACCAAAATTTAGGACTTTTTGACATATATTGGCCATTTGGCGCACAATTAACCCGAAATCGGTTGATGATATATATTGGAGCTATTTCCAAATCTGAACCGATCTTGATAAAATTTGGTAGAGGTATTTCTGGGCTGTATCTGATACCAAACATTATTCTTGAGGGGTGCATAGTACGAATGTGGGGGGACTTAAACACCAAATCGGGTGTAACCTATATAAGGTAGCTATAGCTATATCTGAATTGATTTTTATACCCTACTGCACATAGTGATACGGTTATTTTGCCTGTTTGGATTTGTTTGTAACAGGGAGAAGGAAGCGAGATAGACCCATAGCTACTTTTGAGGATCTTCATAGCATTTATTATACGATTGAAATGACATTTTACACACAAGATTTTTGTTTGGTCCAAGGACGAACCCTATTGAAATTGGTGATAATCGGATCAAATTTAGATATAGCTTCCATAAATCTTCAACCGATTTCAGGGTAATTGTGCACCAAATGGCCAATATAAGTCGTAATGACCTGAATTTAGGTGCATCCCACCGAATTCAATATAGAAGCAAGTACATCACATTTGGAGAGAATCGGTTAAGACATAGCTCCCATATATATGTTTCATCCCATTTTGGTGTTTTAAGTCCCCCAAGTGCGTTATATGCACTCCACGCGAATTTTATTTGGTACCGGACATCAGATACTGCTCGAAAATACCTCGGTCTAATTTTATCGAGTTCAGTTCAGATTAGGATATAGCTCCCATATACATCTTTATCCTATATCAGGTTTATGGTGCATCAAATGGCTAATATCAGCCCAAAAGGACTGAATTTTGGCCATTACGACTGAATTCATCCTAGAAACAAGTACCTCAAATTTGGTGTAAATCGGTTCAGAAAAAGCTGTAGCTCCAATATATATGTTTTATTCGATTTTGGGTTTTAAATCCTTTACATGGGTAATATGCATTCCTCAACAATGATCTTTTGTACCAGATATTAGATACAGCTCTGAAATAATGTATTAAATTTTGTCAAGATCGATTCAGATTTGGATATAGCTCCCATATATATCTTCAAACGTGTTAATCGGGTTATTTGTGCACCAAATAACCAATATCAGTCCAAATGGTCTGAATTTTGGCATATCCTACAGAATTCAGTCTAGAAGCAAGTACATCAAATTTAGTGAAAACCGGTTCAGATATAGCTAAACCTGTCATAAATATATTTCATCCGATTTTGTTTTTAATTTCCTTGATATTCGTAATATGCATTCAACAACAATGATTTTTGTTACCAGATATCTTGTATCCTCAAACCGATTTCAGGTTTATTGTGCAAATATTTTGATATATATTGATCTATGAGATTGTATAAATTTTGCTATATATACGTTTTCTTGTATATCAGCATCAATGTAACGGTCAGGACTGACATTTCCCCAGAATTAAAAATATTCGTCGTGTAGTGCACATTTTCGTATTTTTTACATAAAAGTTATCGTCTATTTTACCCGCTAAATATAGTCCGATAACCAAACAGAAGGTAGGTAGGCTTCTGGTCAGCCCTAAACTGTACTCCCGTGCTATGACGGACACACAAAGCTAGATGAGCTCAGTTCTGAGGTATAAGACGATCCATATATAATTTCCTATGTCGGGTACCAATAATACTGTTGTAGTCGTATAAAAACCGTATAAATCCAAAACTCAATTTGTATCTACTTTATACCGCACAAGATTGGTTTGAACAGCTTTTTTATATGCCACGGCTATGGCACGTTTAATTGAACCTTAAGAATTGGGAACCGATATTTTCAAACGATTTAATTTAATTTTTAGTTTTTCTTATTTTGATTGCCTTTACGAGTATATGCTGATATACATCTAACTTTAATTACATTTTCTTTTAGATTAGAACCGGCGCTGAAGCTTCATCAAGGTCATATATACATATTTTGGATTTGAAAAGGGTGGCGCAGATATAAGGTATATGTAACAAAAAGATTTATTAATATTCAAATTTATTATTTGTTCATCAGTGTTAATTTTTGCCTTTTTTGTCTCGTTTCAGGCGATATAAATCGGAAATAATAATAGAAAGCAATTGATAATGCTGTCAATTTCCGATTATTCAATGATTTGTGTAATATTTTATATTGAGTCAATGAGAGTTGAAACTTTAGCGTAAAAATTTCATAGTAAGATTATAAATTTGTAGCAATTTACAAATGTTTTTTTGATGCGTTCTATATTTCAAGATTCCAAAATATAAAGTTGCAACTAATTTGTCTGAATAAAACAAATAGGAACTTGAAAAAAAAAACTGTTTGTTTCAATGTGTGAACCGATGTTAAAATATATCGTTGTGTAATGAGAACACAAGATGTCGAACTGCCACGAATTTGTCTTAAAAATTTGGTCTGAAATCCGTAAGGCACCTAGAATGTGGAGTAACCATTATATAGGGTTTATAGTAAATAGTGGGAAAGTTCTTAGTATAGAGAAATTCTACCTAATAAGATGCCAAAACTATAAAGTACAGAAAATTGTATTCAAAATTATGGCAGGAACCTTTAAATGCCGAAAACGTTAATATTCATTGAAGAGGGAAAGATATATACAGGGTGAGATAAAAAACTGCAACAAAATCAAACACAATAATTTTTACATTTTTATACCCTCAGCCATATGGCTACAGAGGGTATATACAATTTGAAACGTTCAGAACGTGCCTAATTGAAATAACGGTTTTAGACCCTAGGTCTCTTTGGACCAAATCAGTTTAAGAACAATTAAAGTCGATCTAGCGATGTCCGTCCGTCCGTCTGTCTGGCTAGCTGATGCGCACGATAACTCTCGGAGGGAGTATCTAATTTGCTCCAAACTGCGTACATCGTAATATTTTTGTCAAACTTAGATCGAGTTCGGAGATGGGCAATATCGGTTCACTCGTTCTGGTACCTCCCCCACAAAACTTCGAAATTTTCAAAAAATATATTTTTCGATCAGAAAGAAAAAGGATAATCCGATTTTGCTCCAACTTTGTATATCCTAATATTTGCGTCAGTGCTAGGCCAGGTGTGAAAATCGACGATATCATTTCACTCCATCAAGTACCTCCCCCACAAATGGTCAAAATTTTGAATAATTACAACTCTCATAAAATGTGATGTAAGAGTCCGATTGTCTTCAAATTACACACATCCTACTATTTTTACATACATTTTCGCTAACATAAGATCTGTTGTGAAGATGCCATATATATGCGAACCCCTGTTGGTACTCACCCACAAAGGGACATTTTTAATACTTTTATCTGTCATAAATTGCGATTCTTTACAACTTGCTATATCTAAATATATGTCTCTCATCCAGAATTCTGAGATGAATATGCCATTTATTATTTCCCATAAATTGGGTATAAATGTTCGATTTTCGTATATATGCAAATACTTTAATGTACTAATGTAAGTTGAAGATTAAAAGTAGTAGTCTACTGTATATTAACAGTAGAGACTATCTTTTTGTTGTTCATTAATTACTGTTAAGGCCCTAATAATTTTTGGGAACATCCCCATTGTTTTTGAAGCAAACATTTAGTAATTGTGTGTTTTCTTCGATTTTTAAATGCGTATGTAAAGTTATTCTGAAACTTAAACTTATTCTAAAATTTAATGCTATTTCCGACATTTTTTGCTTTCATTAACAAAATTTAAAAAACAAGTAAAAAGTATCGGTAGGTTTTGCCGACTGATGTACACCCTCAGCCATTGATCGATTATTTAAAAATATTTTGACTTCTGTTATGAATTTTTTTTTTACTTGTTTTTTAAATTTTGTTAATGAAAGCAAAAAATGTCGGAAATAGCATCAAATTTTAGAATAAGTTTAAGTTTCAGAATAACTTTACATACGCATTTAAAAGTCGAAGAAAACACACAATTACTAAATGTTTGCTTCAAAAACATTGGGGATGTTCCCAAAACTATTAGGGCCTTAACAGTAATTAATGAACAACAAAAAGATAGTCTCTACTGTTAATATACAGTAGACTACTACTTTTAACCTTCAACTTACATTAGTACTTTAAAGTAGTTGCATTTATTATCCGATTTAAATGAAGCTCTTTAAACAATATCTGCTTGTCCCAACAACGAACTCTATTGAAATTGGAAAGAATGGGATCGCATTTAGATATAGCTCCCATATATGTTTGCATCCGTATTAATTGTGTACCAAATGGTCAATGTCAGTGCAAATGATTAAACGTCAAAGTCGAACGCCATAATTTTTTATTTTTTTTATTTTATTGAATGAAAGCAAAAAATGTCGGAGATAGCATCAAATTTTAGAATAATTTATAATTTGTTCGAATTGGTCAACTTTGGCACAAATTATGGCTTTCAAACGGTCAATGGAACCATCACACGCTGCCCGAGTGTTCCGCACCAAACGTCTAATATTTGTCCAAATAGAATGAAATTTGGCACTTACGACCGAATTGAGTCTAGAAGCTAGTATGTCAAATTTGGTGAAGATCGGTTCAAATATAGCTATAGCTCCCATGTACATTGTTCATCCGATTTGTCATACTTGTTACCCACAGCCGTAATATGCACTCCGAAATATATCAAATACAGCTCAGAAATATCTTTGCCAAATTTTATCGAGATCGGTTCCGATTTGGATATAGCTCCCATATATATTTTTAACCGATTTCAAATTAATTGTGCACCAAATGGGCAATATAAGTCCGAATTTAAAAGATACAAATGCTTCGGCATATTTAGTCCTTTGAACTTTAAATTATAATTATAATCATAGCGTGTATGATTGAATTCTCCCATAAAAACTTTTAATTGTTATGCTCAACTCTACTAAATTACCAAAGTGGTGTAGGGTATCATAAAGTCGGCCCCGCCCGACTTTAAGACTTTCTTTACTGGTTTTTCTTTTGCTTTGTCTTAATTTATTTTCTGTTGTATAATTTAAGCATACCAACGAGTAACAGATTAATTGCCGCATGACATCAGGATTCGGATCACTTTTAAAGCTTTTATAATTAATCTGATTACTATGCACATTCTTACCCTCAAAATTATTGCCCACTTCTAAAACAAATAGAAAGACTTTTTTGAAAAACAAAAGCAACAAGAGCGTAAAATATACAATAAAAAGACAAATAATTTGGTAAATTATTGCCAACATTTAAGGGTAATTTAACAAAGGTAATCCCAAAATGACTTCGTGAGACCGAAAACGCTGGGAAATTTATCGTAACAGTTACAATAACAGCAGTAACACACCGTAGCTTAGAGATTAAACATTAAACGATTCCTAATGTATATAAATATGTTTCGTGATGCGAATTTACTTTGACCAAGCGAACAGGGAATATGGTTGACACCACAGTTCCATTGGTTATAAATGACCAGTATTTTGTTTTTTATATTTTTTTTCGGATGTTCCAATATATTTATGTCTTGTCTTAAGATTTTATTAGAAGTCGTTTAGTTTTATTTATTTATGTGCTGGTAATATTTATGGGAATGTTTATCATATAGTGTTTGGGAATATTTCAAAAGTCTTCCTAATAAATTCATTTTTAAACCCCAGTTAGCTTGTAATAACAATACAAAATAAGGTATAAGATAAGGGTCTAGAAAATTTCTTCCATAAATTAAAACTTTTATAAAGGAATGAAGTGTCCATTGAAACAATGTAGAAAGGAACATTTTTTAACTCAAAATGATCATAGAGCCAGAATTCAACCCAAATAAATAATATCTTTTGTTTAGCAAAAAACGCTGTTTCAGATTGCATGTGGGACACCAGCCACATTTTTTCTGGACATTAATTTTCGTTAATAAATATTACAATAATATACGTCGCCCCTGAAATCGAAGGAAATTAGAATTAAAATCTTTACATTGCATTGAACCATGCGAAACTTTTGAGAGGCATTGGAACATGCGACAGCTTTCACATGTGCTATTGACCTGTGTTTGCACGTCATAACAAAAAAAAAAAACATAACCCCCAAAATTGTGCACAGTGTCGAAATTGAGCCAGGTGACCAAATGTATGTCCAAAACGATGTTGATTTTGGATATCGTAATGGTCCTGACCACAATTTCCATCCAATTTGAGGACCACCTCACGAAACCTTTTCCAATCTGTTATCGGAATAGCTGAATTAAAGAAAGAACTGAGCTCAAACATGTAACTTGTAATAGCCTCCACGATTTGGAAAATAAAATATATCTGCAAATACCGAAATTTCAAAATTTCAGTAAATTTTTGTGTCAGAAATTTAAAATCGTCAAAATACGGGAACATAGGGCTATATGAAAACGTGGACCTATAGACAATGTTATGTCACAGTATGTAGAACATACCAAATATAGACGGGTATAATTATATGGGGTCTATATGAAAACATTCACATATACTGCTCATCTTCGGACCTGCAGACAAAAGACAACTCTATACAAAATCTTCCTATCACATGCCATTTGGACCCTCGCGAATAAAAACAAGCATACAGACGGACGAACTCTGATCAAGAATTATACACTTTGTTGGGTCTAAAATGATTATTTCGGTGAATGACAAACTTAATATACCCTCCATATGATATGTGTTGTCTTGGGTATAAAAATTAATTTAATTCGAATTCAAGTATAATTCACTTTTGCCTATGCTATGTTAAGCATATTTATTAAGAGAATGCTTATGTAATACTTTATATAGAATTCTTCAAATTTGTCCAATTTATTTCTTTTAGGCAGCATTTACTGTTGCATTTTTTACACCCTCCGCCATAGTATGGAGGATCAGTATAAAATTCTATGTCGATATAACGATGTCCGTCCGTAAAAATCACTCTAGCTTCCGAACAAAATGAAGTAGCTTGATAAAATTTTACTCAGACGTGTGCTTGTTCTGCATGACTTTTAGTATAGTATATAGTATATATTCGGAAGTTTTACGCTTTTTATAGTATTTTTCAAAGCTTTTCATACCTTCCACCACACATAATTAGGTTCGTCATTTCGTCTGTAACTGCACAAATTTTGCGCAGATCAGTCTTTTGTTTGCAGACATGTCAATAATAGGGAGGGTATATTAAGTTCGTCATTCCGTTTGTAACTTATCGTAATAATCATTTTATACCCAAAAAAAGTATATATATTATAGATCAGGGTAAAATTCTAAGACGATTTAGACTTGTCCGTCCGTCTGTTGTAATCACGCTACAGTCAAAACGAATTAAGAT